GAACCAGTACTTTCCTATATCCTTCCTGAATCTAAATTTTTCTAACAAAACCATTGCTGAGAGTCCTGTCTAGGCTAGATATTTTCAGCACACTATTTACCTCCCCTTTATTTATTACAGTCTTCCATTTATACACCTCAATCATATCCCCCCCTAATTCCACATCTTTCTAGAGTGCAGATTCAGGGCCCTTAGTCTATCCTCATAGGGAAGGTTTCTGATACATGGGATCAACTTTGTCATCCTCCTTTGTACATTTTCCAGAGCATTTATATCCATTCTGTAATACGGTGACCGAAACTGCAGCATAATCGAAATGAGGCCTAACCAAGGAGGTATAGAGTTGAACAACCTGAGGACTCCTATTATTTATGCTTCTTGATATGAAGCCAAGGATTCTATTAGCTTTATTGCGAACACTTATGCACTGTTGTCTTGGTTTCAGATTACTGCTAACCAGAACTACATCTCTTTCGCAATCCGTAATATTAAGATCTACATTATTTAGTTTATATGTGGCATGGTTATTGTCCTGTCCAACCTTTAGAACTTTGCATCTGTCTATATTAAACTGCATCTGCCACCTCTCCGACCACTGCATCAGTCTACTCATATCTTCCTGGCGTGCTCTAATATCCTCGTCAGAATGAATTCAACGGCCTATTTTGGTGTCATCGGCAAACTTGCTGATGTCGCTCTTTATGCCCTCATCTATGTCGTTTATGTAGATTGTGAACAGCAGGGGGCCCAACACTGAACCCTGTGGAACACCGCTCGTGACACTTCCCCACTCTGATTTCTCCCCATTAATGCAAACTCTCTGCTGCCTATTTGTCAACCATGCCTCTATCCAGGAAAAATTTTCTATTCCATGTGCTTTAATTTTCCTCAATAGTCTCTGATGTGGGACCCTGTCAAAAGCCTTACTGAAGTCCATATACACAATATCATATTCATTACCATGATCTACCTCCACAAATACCTTAGTGAAAAAAGTTAATGCGTAAGACAGGAATGCCCCTTTGTAAAACCATGCTGAGATTCGTTGATTAATTTATGCTTTTCAATGTGGCTACAAACTGCCTCGGCAATTATTGATTCCATAAATTTTCCCACTATGGAGGTTAGGCTTATTGGTCTATAGTTCGAAGCTAAGGACCTGTCATCTGCTTTGAAAATAGGTATCACATTTGCCATTTTCCACTTACCTGGCACCATGCCAGTTTGTAGTGATATGTTGAAAAGATTAGCCAAAGGTTTGCTAAGCTCCTCTTTACATTCCTTTAGAACCCTTGCATACAGTTCATCAGGGCCTGGGGATTTGTTAGGTTTTAGTTTATCTATTTGCCCAAGGACCATGTCACTTGTGACCCTAATCGTGCACAGTTTATTATCGTCCTGTTCCACATAATTTATCATTTCTGGAATATAGCTGGTATCCTCCTGTGTAAAAACTGAGAGGAAGTAAGTGTTAAAACTTCTACACATTTCCTTATCACTGTCAGTGAGCTGACCCGAGGAACTTTTGAGTGGGCCTATCTTACTTCTGTATACCTGAAAGAATCCTTTTGGGTTAGTCTTCGATTCTCTTGCAACTTCAACCTCAATCTCTTTTTGCTTTTCTAATTATTTTTTATTTCTCTCTAACTGAATATATCGATTTCTTAATTGCCCCTCTCCTCTTTTGATTTGCCTATATATGCCTCTTGACCAATTAGATATTTTAATCTATTGTTCATCCATTTAGGATCATTTTTGTTTGATCTGATTTCCCTATTTGGAACATAATTAGACCGAGCAGCTAGAACTATGCCCTGGAAAGCGTCATATCAGCAACCATCACCACCTACCTGACCCTTAGTCAGGTCATTCCAGTTCAGCCCACGTAAGTAATTTTTCAGTCCTATGAAATCAGCCAAGCGGAAGTCAGGGACAGACTTGATTGCCATTATTAGGGGAATTCCACGATATATTAAAACTGAGCGATTTGTGATCACTTTCCCCAAGCTCATCATTAACCTCAAGATTATTAATTAGTGTTTCCCTACTGGCAAGAACAAAGTCAAGGAGGTTATTTCCCCCTAGTTGGCTCTGTCACAAACCGTTTTAAAAAAAAATCCTGGATCGTATCAAGAAAGTCACCTGACTAAATTTCCTGTCAAATTGCTCCAGTCAATCTGTCTAGTTGAAATCTCCCATTAGCACAACATTTTCGTATGTAGATGCCTTACGAATTTCGTCCCATAGAAATTTACTGCACTCCCTATCAAGATTTGGGGCCCTGTAAACCACACCCAAAATTAGTTTTTCTCGGCCCTCGAGAAGCTAACCAGGTTAGGCCTCATTTGGATTATGCAGCACAGTTCTAGTCACCGTATTACAGAATGGATATAAATGTACTGGAAAATGTACAAGGGAGGATGACAAAGTTGATCCCATGAATCAAACCTTCCATATGAGGATAGACAGCCCTGAAACTGCACTCTATAAAGGAATATTATTAGGGGGGATATGACTTGAGGTGTATAAATGGAAAACAGGAATAAAGGGAATGAATACCGTACTAAAAATATCTAGCCAAGAGACTTGCAGCAATGATTTCAGGTTTAAAAAATTCAGATTCAGGAAGGATGTAGGAAAGCACTGGTTTGGTAGAATTGTGGAGAAATGGAACAAACTCCCAAGTACCATCACAGACGCTAAAACTGTAGTTTTAAGTTAGATCAAGTCATGAGTGGGTGCATGTTGGACCTGACTAGCTTGTGCTAATTGGTCTGATGCCATGCTCCTTAAGATGTGACCTGGACCCAACTAGGTTGGATTAGTGGCTTAAGCCAGTAGGTGACTACCTGCCTCGCATGGGCTATTAGGCCTGCTGTGGTGTGCCTTCTTTCTTACGCTCTTAAATCAAAGCCCAACTCAAGAGTTTCTCTCTGGCATACATTATATTCAAAATGAAGCATTGAAACCTACAAGGGTCATACAGTGCAGTCTCGGGCATATAGGAATACGAATGGGGAAAAAGACTAGTATATTTAAACTTAGCTCAGGTCAACTTTGACAAAAAGAATGTAAAATTTCCTTTACAGGAAAAAAAAATCCCAGAAATTAATTTTACAGGTCAGAACTAAAATTAATTATGCAAAATTCAAGCCCTGAAGCCAGTATCTGCCTCAGTACTGAGGCAGATAAGATAAACAAGCTCAGGAAAAAATTGTGAAGGGCAGGAGACAAGAGCCACTAATTAGGGCTAAGGGAGGGAACCCAGTCATGAAACCTTTTGCCTAGAGGAGTTTGACTTTGGGAACACCTGTCTAATCTTGGTTGGGGTAATATAGCTAATGATTTTATTGACAATGATCATACCTACGATTACGAAGGGATCTGCGTTTATGATTTTTTTCTTAATGTACAATGTACCCTCCAGGTAATCCAGGTATGCTCAGAGTATACATATTCCTGAAAGAGAAATTAGGTCAAATAATAATCGTACATGGGTTAACAGGAGGCTAAAGAGTATTAGAGAAATTTATAGGTGCATCAAAAGAGAAGCAGTTAACCTTATTGGCCAATATGTAAAAAAAAAAAAAAAAAAAAAAAAAAAAAAAAAAAAAAAAAAAGTACAAGAAAGGCTAAATGTGACTATGAAACTAAGGTTGCTAATGAATCAGACTAACCCAAAAGGGTTAATTCAAGTGTATATAAGCAAAGGTGAAGGAAAAAGTAGGAACTCTGAAAACTGGGAAGGGACAGCTGATGGATAAACTGGAAATGTGTTCTCAATTTAATGATATTTTATGTATTTACACAAGATTTAAAAGATTTCAGAAATTAACAATTACTCAGTTCCTGAGGAATTCAGATTAACTAATATTACCGTCACCTGGGACAGTTATCAAAAACACAAGTCCCCGGGACCCGACAAGTTGTCTTCCAGGGACCTTAAATGCAAGATGGAGCTTAGTCAGCCATTAACAAGCATGTTTAATGCATCCATCCTAAATGGTGTTGTGCCAGATATGTGAAAGATAGTTAATGTAGTTCCTATACTCAAATGAGGGGATAAGTCCATTTCATCAAGTTACCATCCAATAAACCTGACTTCTATAGTAGGCAAATTATTAGAATCAATTTTAGCTGTTATTGTAAGTGACCTTGAAGAGCATAATTTGATTAATGGGTCTCGGCACGGGTTCACGAGAGGTAGTTCCTGCCCGACAGATTTACTGACGTTCTTCAATAAAACATTTAAACAGTAAACAGAAGGCACACTGCAGCAGGTCTACTGGCCCATGCGAGGCAGGGCCAAGTCTCCTACCGGCTTAAGCCAATGACCCAACCTAGCCAGGTCAGGTCACATTCACTTAAGGAGCACGGCATCAAACCCAGTAGCAGAAGCTCGTCAGGTCCAACTCGCACTCACTCGTGTATTTAACCTATTTACAACTACAAAACATTTTAGCTTCTATAACGGTACTCGGTAGCGAGTTCCACTTATCCACAACTATTCACCTACTGGCTTAGCTAGTCAGGTCTAAGATAAGACTTGCTGCAATGGACTCGGTTCGAAAAAAATATTTAAAAAGGACAAGCGTCTTTCTCCACGAGTGAAGACACGTTGTTGTAGCCTCTCCACCAGTCCTCGGTGAAAGCAGGTATACTGTGCTGGTCTTATATTACAATTAAACAGTGCTAAACCAGATTTATATTTATAGTTTCCCTGAACCAGACAGTTAGGGTTAACACGTGTTACTGCAGCATGGAACCTTAACTCACATGAACAGATCTTGGTTAACAATAACAAATACCAATTGACGCTTAAATATTGATCTTATAGGTTTGTTATTAAATACAAATTCCTTTGACAAAATCTAGTATCTGACTAAAATTTCAAATCATGAAGTTAGCGTCTCCCGGAGGAACCATCACCGGACAATTATAATACTAAGAAAACACCACAACTTGTAGTTAAAAGAAACTTTTAACAATAATCCACTTACTGGGAACTCACGAGGAGTCTTCTCTCCACCCATACCGAGGGAATTCCACCAAAATAGTATCATTATGGTGGTATTGAGAGGTAAGAGTGTAGATGATGTTCGCAGGTTGATGGTGGACGTCAGAGTGGACGGAGGTGACGCCTTCACAACCACACCTCACCTTCCTTCATTATTATGTATATATACTGTTATTTTATTTATGTATGTTTTCTCAACCTAATATTTCCTTTAATACTTATAATTATTAAAAACGGATCGTGATTTTTTTTTTTAATTAACTTGTAGGGAGGAAATTTATTATATATTTGGGAGCTTTTAATTCTTGTTTAAAGTATGCAAAATTTACTTATAACATTTAATTATTGCTTAAAAATAATTATAAGTAATTTTTCTTACTTTAAATAAAAACTTAAAACTCTCAGATATATAATTAACTTCCTCCGCTCAAATTTGAAAAAAAATCACGATCTATTTTTATTATAATTATCTTGTTATAATTATTTTAATTATTTTGTTATAATTACTTTTCATTAAGAATTAATTGTTATACCAAAATAACATTTTATTAATTTTAATCAGGGAGAAGCACTAAACCAGTAGGGGCCACACAACGCCTAGGGAATGGAAGGTATTCAGGTCTGATCCAAGGAAAGGGAGAATAAGTCGACCTCCTTGGATCAAGAGCCCAACCCTAGGCATAATAGAGGCTCTCTTTGCACTGCAACCCATTATTGTATATACATAATCTCAATGTACTACTTGCAAAGAAATAAATAAATTTGAATTTGAATTTGAATCGTTACATTTAAACATCTATCAAAGAAAACGACAAATATTTTAAGACACTCTCAACTATGTTCATATTTAGTTGTTAAACAATTCTAAGCCTGAATGCCTTCCATATCCCCCCCCCCTAGGCGCTGTATAATCCTCCGGGTTTAGCGCTACCCCTTGATTATAATAATAATAATAATGTTAAACAATATATTTTATATATAATAAGGGTTACACAACGCCTTGGGAGTGAGGGATAATTAACTTTGATCCAAGAAACACGAGGGCAACTCAAGTTCCTTGAATCAAGAGCCGTCCATTGTTCATCAGCATCCTTTGAATATCTTTAATGAGAGTAAAGCGCTAAACTCGTAGAGGTCATGTCACCTGAGGGATGCCTAGCCATGCTAGGTGTCCTAGTGGCCCCCTCTGTAATTAGTATTTTATAACATGTAAACCACACAATACCCAAAACCTGTAAACCCCACATTGTAACCATTATAGAGAATAAACTTGAATTGAAAGGAAGGACCATAAGTCAGCTCCTTGGATCAGGAGGCTCCCTCACTGCCACCAAGGCATCTTTCTTGATTATTATTATTATTATTATTATTATTATTATAATCAAGGGGGAAGCGCTAAACCCGGATTATTATTATTATTATAATCAAGGGGGAAGCGCTAAACCCGGAGGATTATACAGCGCCTGGGGGAGGATGTGGAAGGCATTCAGGCTTAATTCTAGGAACTGGAGCACAGATCCAATTCCCTAAATCAAGAGCCCCTCACCAACATCAAGGAACCTTCCTTGAGGGGATTATTATTATAATCAAGGGGGAAGCGCTAAACCCGGAGGATTGCATCTTTCTTGAAAGTTTGCAAAACTTATTCACTCATTAGCAAGAGCTATGAAAATCATGTTACCTCAAATTGGTTGTGTTGTAAACAACACTCAGAAACACTAAGATATACTTTGTCACTAAATTGGTTGTCTTGTTCCTGGGTAATAGAACACTTGCCTCACAACTGGTAACTCAGGTTCAGTTCCCAGGATGTTCAACACTCGTGAGCACTTCAAGTAGTCTCCATACACCTGCTAAGTGCAGACCAAGTTACTCTAGCAGTAAATAAAGCAGATACCTAGCTGTTGTGGGCTGCATCTCAGAAAAAAAATTTAATTTATGGGGAAGCATTAAACCTTAAGAGGCCATACAGTGCCTGGGGAATGGGAGGTAATGCAAGCCTGGGTTGATATAAGCTATTTTTTTTTTTTTCATTTTACTCGTGGGAAGCACTAAACCTGTAGGTGTCATATTGGAAGCATTCAGATTTGATCCAATGAAGGGGAAAGTAATTCCTTTACTGGCATCAAGGCTTGTATCTATAGGTTTTTAGGAAAAGTAAATTCCAGTATAAATAAATCACACCAACTTCATCCTGGGTTAAAATTAATTTATTCATGGGAGTGCTAAACCCATAGGGATCAGTTAGTGCCTGGGGGAAATGAGAAGTATTCAGGTTCAACCCAAGGAAGGAGAGCACAAGTCCTGAGTTAACTTGATAAACTTTATACCTATAACTACCCACACACATTAACCCCTTATTCACAAAACACTAACATCATACTCACAAAGCACTAAACTCAAGGCAGTCAGTGGTTCCTTAACACATGAATTATTTTCATTATTTTAATCAAGGGAGAGCACTAAATCTGTAGGATTATGTAGCACCTGTGTGGGGGATGTGGAAGGTATTCAGGCTTATTTCAAGGAACTGGAACACAGATCCAATTCCCTAGATCAAAAGCCCCTCACCAAAGTCAAGGAACCATCCTTGAGGGGACTCAACACACATAGGCGACAACTTTTGAATGTGAGGAAAAATTATAAGTCTCCACGCACAACACACAAAACATAGGAAACAAGTCAGTTCTCTCAGCTATGACCTCTCCTGGTATATTATTATTACAATCATAACTAAGCTATGACCTCTCCTGGTACATTATTATTATTACAATCATAACTAAGCTATGACCTCTCCTGGTATATTATTACAATTATAACTAAGCTATGCCCTCTCCTGGTATAGTATTACAATCATAACTAAGCTATGACAGAGGCAGTAATTTCATGCACTGGTCAGGGAGGTATACCATCTTTTAGGAGTGAAGAAGAGCAGAATGTAAGTGTGGGGGAGGTACGTGAGGCATTACGTAAAATGAAAGGGGGTAAAGCAGCTGGAACTGATGGGATCATGACAGAAATGTTAAAAGCAGGGGGGGATATAGTGTTGGAGTGGTTGGTACTTTTGTTCAATAAATGTATGAAAGAGGGGAAGGTACCTAGGGATTGGCGGAGAGCATGTATAGTCCCTTTATATAAAGGGAAAGGGGACAAAAGAGACTGTAAAAATTATAGAGGAATAAGCTTACTGAGTATACCAGGAAAAGTGTACGGTAGGGTTATAATTGAAAGAATTATAGGTAAGACAGAATGTAGGATTGTGGATGAGCAAGGAGGTTTCAGAGTGGGTAGGGATGTGTAGATCAAGTGTTTACATTGAAGCATATATGTGAACAGTATTTAGATAAAGGTAGGGAAGTTTTTATTGCATTTATGGATTTAGAAAAGGCATATGATAGAGTGGATAGAGGAGCAATGTGGCAGATGTTGCAAGTATATGGAATAGGTGGTAAGTTATTAAATGCTGTAAAGAGTTTTTATGAGGATAGTGAGGCTCAGGTTAGGGTGTGTAGAAGAGAGGGAGACTATTTCCGGTAAAAGTAGGTCTTAGACAGGGATGTGTAATGTCACCATGGTTGTTTAATATATTTATAGATGGGGTTGTAAAGGAAGTAAATGCTAGGGTGTTCGGGAGAGGGGTGGGATTAAATTTTGGGAATCAAATTCAAAATGGGAATTGACACAGTTACTTTTTGCTGATGATACTGTGCTTATGGGAGATTCTAAAGAAAAATTGCAAAGGTTAGTGGATGAGTTTGGGAATGTGTGTAAAGGTAGAAAGCTGAAAGTGAACATAGAAAAGAGTAAGGTGATGAGGGTGTCAAATGATTTAGATAAAGAAAAATTGGATATCAAATTGGGGAGGAGGAGTATGGAAGAAGTGAATGTTTTCAGATACTTGGGAGTTGACGTGTCGGCGGATGGATTTATGAAGGATGAGGTTAATCATAGAATTGATGAGGGAAAAAAAGGTGAGTGGTGCGTTGAGGTATATGTGGAGTCAAAAAACGTTATCTATGGAGGCAAAGAAGGGAATGTATGAAAGTATAGTAGTACCAACACTTTTATATGGGTGCGAAGCTTGGGTGGTAAATGCAGCAGCGAGGAGACGGTTGGAGGCAGTGGAGATGTCCTGTTTAAGGGCAATGTGTGGTGTAAATATTATATACAGAAAATTCGGAGTGTGGAAATTAGGAGAAGGTGTGGAGTTAATAAAAGTATTAGTCAGAGGGCAGAAGAGGGGTTGTTGAGGTGGTTTGGTCATTTAGAGAGAATGGATCAAAGTAGAATGACATGGAAAGCATATAAATCTATAGGGGAAGGAAGGCGGGGTAGGGGTCGTCCTCGAAAGGGTTGGAGAGAGGGGGTAAAGGAGGTTTTGTGGGCGAGGGGCTTGGACTTCCAGCAAGCGTGCGTGAGCGTGTTAGATAGGAGTGAATGGAGACGAATGGTACTTGGGACCTGACGATCTGTTGGAGTGTGAGCAGGGTAATATTTAGTGAAGGGATTCAGGGAAACCGGTTATTTTCATATAGTCGGACTTGAGTCCTGGAAATGGGAAGTACAATGCCTGCACTTTAAAGGAGGGGTTTGGGATATTGGCAGTTTGGAGGGATATGTTGTGTATCTTTATATGTGTATGCTTCTAAACTGTTGTATTCTGGGCACCTCTGCAAAAACAGTGATAATGTGTGAGTGTGGTGAAAGTGTTGAATGATGATGAAAGTATTTTCTTTTTGGGGATTTTCTTTCTTTTTTGGTCACCCTGCCTCGGTGGGAGACGACCGACTTGTTGAAAAAAAAAAAAAAAAAAACTAAGCTATGACCTCTCCTGGTATATTACAATCATAACTAAGCTATGACCTCTCCTGGTATAATTTTACAATCATAACTAAGCTATGACCTCTCCTGGTATGACCAGGATCGATGTCTGTAATCCACTCAAAACAAAAATGTGACTGCCCAAGAGGAATATGACTAGCATAATTGTTATCAACCTAGGTAGTAGGCTGGTAGACAGCAACCACCCAGGGAGGTACTACCGTCCTGCCAAGTGAGTGTAAAACGAAAGTCTGTAATTGTTTTACATGATGGTAGGATTGCTGGTGTCCATTTTTCTGTCTCATAAACATGTAAGGCTTCAGGTATGTCTTGCTACTTCTACTTTCACTTAGGTCACACTACACAATTTTTTTTTTTTCAACAAGTCGGCTGTCTCCCACCAAGGCAGGGTTACCCAAAAAAGAAAGAAAATCCCCAAAAAGAAAATACTTTCATCAACATTCAACACTTTCACCACACTCACACATTATCACTGTTTTTGCAGAGGTACTCAGAATACAACAGTTTAGAAGCATATACATATAAAGATACACAACATATCCCTCCAAACTGCCAATATCCCAAACCCCTCCTTTAAAGTGCAGGCATTGTACTTCCCATTTCCAGGACACATAAATGTACAAGCATATATATACACCCCCCTCTGGGTTTTCTTCTATTTTCTTACTAGTTCTTGTTCCTGTTTATTTCCTCTTACCTCCATGGGGAAGTGGAACAGAATTCTTCCTCCGTAAGCTATGCGTGTTGTAAGAGGCGACTAAAATGCCAGGAGCAAGGGGCTAGTAACCCCTTCTCCTGTAAAGATTACTAAATTTAAAGAGAGAAACTTTCGTTTTTCTTTTTGGGCCACCCCACCTCAGTGGGATACGGCTGGTGCGTTGAAAGAAAAAAATTGTTACCAACTTCAAATTAGTGCTACAGAATACAATGGTAAGACTTCAGGTTTATTTATAAAATAAAACTGTAATGAATAATTTGGTATTCACAAGTACAGAGGTTAATACAAACCAGTGTCAGACTTCCAAGAATGAATCATTTACTTTTTACAGGGGATAGCTGAGATGATAGGTAATATTTAAAAAAAAAAAAAGGCATTTTTAGTATAAAATTTATTTGGAAGGATGCACAAAAGTTGGTCAACAGCAGTTATTATAATATACAACAAATAATTCTATATCACAAAATACAATAAAAAATGAGTAGCTCTACATTACATACCAGCAACTATCTAGATAGTGGCAAACAACATTATCCTTAAGCATCCAAAGTTGTACAAGGTGTCATCTTCCTCATTCTAATGACTGCACAAAACACAGGCCCATTTGATCTAAAATTGTTTAATAAATTATTTTAATGAAGTTCTAATATATTTAAATACAAAAGTCCTACTATACATAACCTTGCAAAATACCTAGTAACCATATGAACATATGTACAAAATACTAGAAATTCAAATTCAAGATATTTACCTGAACATTTATTACACTATATGATTTATAATTTAAGTAGCTAACGTGACTGCTCGGAAATTATCTACATTGCTCTTTCCATTTCAGATAAGCTTGTTTGGTACTATTACATACTCATGTTTACAAGTTAAAAAAACACCTAAGAATACATGTCAAGTATTCATGGAGTTATTTATTGTAAAATTAAACATGATAACATTGTAAAAACATCAATCTATTTTTTTTTTCAATTTCAGTAATATATAATACAAGTAGATCAACTTACTGACAAAGTTGCCTATGGAAACACTACCATGGGGAGTAAAAGGGGTCACCCACATTTCCCAGTGATTGATCTCTTTTCTGGCTAACCTCACTGATTTGCTACATTAATCAACCTCCATATTGCATTTTCAATAATTGTGATGATTCCTGGCAGTAATACCTACAGTGTTAGGCAAGAGACCCATATGCATCTCAAGCTATTTCTTAAGGCAATGTTTCTCCCACCAGGGGTTTTGTGAAGTCAATACATATATAGAGGATGAGCATGGGGTCACCCCCATCAATGATGTACTAGTAAATCTTCACATGGACTACTTAGAGGCAGAATGTTTCAATAACATTACCTCTAAATCCATGCATTACATAATGTCCTTATCCCCTAAACACTATGTCCATGAGCTACAAAATAAAAAGGCTTAAGATAGTTGAGGCTTCAATTAAATTTCTAAGAGGAAACTTATAATAAATTTCCCCTTACTTGACATCTTCACACAAGCCAATAACTCACTATGATTCAAAGTCCACAGAAAACCTACTAACAAAAAATCTCATTCACTCCAGTGGGGGCACCAAAACCAAACAAGACATGCCAACAGGTTTTTTCCTAGGAACCTTCTGCATTTGCTGCCCAGAGTACCTGGACTAACAATCTGCCTTCCTACACCAAACATTTTACGAGCTTGGTTACTTTCCATTTCACAGATTGCAAAAAACGCATTTTCATCATCTGAAACTCTCCATGCAGCAACACCAGTTCCTGAAAATTCACAGCCTTCTTAATTATAAACTGCCTAAAATTTCTCCACAGCACCTGCTCAAAGTAGCATCACAGTTGCTACCACAGCTAGCATTTCAGGCTCACACCCTAACTAAATCTCACACCCAGAAAGTCCACATAGGTGTTTACACAATTTCCTGCAGATGCAAAAAATCATACATTGGAGGAACATTCCAAACCCTTGAAACAAATCTGAGCAAACACACATGCCAGTAGATGCAACAACCTGAAAGCCAGTGTTCAACCTTGGAACAGCAATCACCTTATAAGATGGAAGGATGAGTATGGTCATTGCTCAACCAAATACGAGATGCAAGCACATGGAGATTAACTTTATACCTGTCCCCAACAATGTTACACAAAAGCGGTTTTACTATTTCAAGAGATTCTAGCACGAATTATGCATCCACTTAAGACACCACCTCTACTACTACTGCTGCCACCCCAACCTTTTCCCTTATATATATATTCACTGTGTCCATGTAATGTATGTACAGTGGTCCCTTGAGTTATGATGGGCTTCAGTTATGATCATCTGAGTTACGATTTACTGATTTACACTCACAAAGAAATTCAGTTTTTAGCTGATAAAAAATTTGAGAAACGATATGCATACTATGGCTGGCATACATGGGTGGGCCTCAGTCAATTAGCAATGACGTAGCTTGCCTCTTGGGCAGCATTTGAGCCAATAGAAGCATCAGTGGGGGTGTAGGCATGGGTTAGCAGCCAATCAGCAATGGGAATGAATGTTTCTGTAATACCATTTGTACTACAGTGTACCGTTTCCTCTTCAGTTTGAAACTACTGAGTGTGTTGCCCACACCAACTTTGGATTATTTACACTTCATAACTGCATCTGTGATTTAATTGCACCCTCTTTTGTTTTACCAAGTCATCATAGCCACTAAAGTGCAGAGTAAACAGGCAATTTCTCTGAGGATCAAGCATAAAATTGTGAAGAAAACATGGAGTTTGAATTAGTGCATTGGTGCATAAGTATGGTTTTCCACAGTCAACCGTCTCTACCATTACCAAGCAAAAATCAATTATAAAGAATATTGAAGTGAAAAAGGCAGAAAAATGATCAGAGACGGGCTGTTGTTATTGTGGATGAAAGAGAAGCAGAGGAAGGGAAATACAGTAGCTGCAAGTTATACCTGTGAGCATTTAAGTCCAAGGGACAGTAAAAGGTGTACTTCTGAGATCTTGGAAAGAATTACCATAAAACCATTTCCCTTGGGATCTGAGTTAAAATAGTTTTGATATGTGCGTTTTGGAACAGATGAATATCAGTGGTCAAGTGACCACTGCATTGGTTTAACAAACTCCTGATGGACAATACATTGCCTTAATGTCTCAAATTTGCATACATTATATTTTAAGATAAGACCTTCTAATTGTCTTCAAGAGGGAACTGGAGACACAGTCAGTACCTGACCAGTTGGGCTTTCGTTCATGCACCGGATTGCATGTAGCCAGCAGTAACAGCCTGGTTCATCAGGCTTTGATCCACCATAAGTCCTTGTCATGAACCAGGTTGCAGGGGTGTCAACTCCTGGAACTCCCTTCAAGTAGACTCCCATTCTTTGTCTTTCCTTCTTACTTGTACCAGTTTATCTTTTCATAATTTTTCCCCTTTACCTCACTTGCATTTGCTTAATAATTATAGTTTTCTTATATTATACACATTTGTATTTGTTACAAATCAAAACAGCATGAGGAATTCGTTATAAAAATTCATGACAGTTCCTTGAAAACACTTTAATAACAATGCACTGTACAGACATGAGATTTCTGGGGAACTTTATACATCAGTCACATCACATATGTAAGGATGAACTCCCAGAACAAAAATGAGGTGCCAGAATTATAGATACAGTACAGTATGTGGATACTTTGTAAATATATCATAACCCTGGACATCATAGGGTCTCAATTTTGCATATGGCCAGAAATGAAAAACTGCACAAATTACCATATTTATAAACAAGTTTGTGAAACTGATCCCACTTTACTATGCTACCTGATATGATGTAACACAAATGAATACCCTCATAATTATACAACTCTTACAGATGGAGGTTCAAGACACATATCAGCGGGCAAATTATCGTGTTGGAGGAGAAGGCAAAAGGCCTGGAGCAACTGGTGGTCCTGACATGGCTGATCCAGGACCCAATACAAGCTGAAAAGAGGTAGTAAAATGCATTAAGACATTCTGAGCACATACAGTATGGTGGTAATGGCTAAACTGAAAGTGGAATGGTGTGGACCCATACTTGTACCATATGACCAGTAGGTACAGCACAAGTTCAGGCCCACAATAACTCACTACGAGTTATACAATATACAAACGAGAAGTGGGTGCTTTAAGGGCTATACATAGAACTGTTGATAGCCAAATGTATATTAATGCCATTATTATCGTATACCTGAGATTTTCAAGACTTATTAAATGATGTGTATGTGTACCTAAACTTTTAGTAAATCTTGAAGATCCACACATTTAAAAAACTGTCAACAATCTCTCCGCCTCTTTGTAAAATATAAAACTTGAATCTCACAAAATTTTTTCAGATAAATCTGGCTTGCTTTTTACTATTATAGTGTATAGTGTATGAAGATGGATCAACTCCTGCACAATAATAGTAAACTATATCTTTATTAATGACAATGGCTCTTGTCCAATGAGTTTCAACTCATTTCTGGGTCACCAAGTCATTATGAGTGGATATCTAAAGGTTTCCAGTGGTTGAACTTATGTTAAGAAACAGCAGTCTGGAATCTTAGCTAAAAACATTCATGCACAAAAATTTAAAATCCAGTATCAATATATTCCTCAAACATAAAGCACAGTATAGTACATCATGCTGGGCTTGAAGAAATTTAAATATAAATAAGCTGCAGGAACGGCTGAAGATCCAAACTGATGAAGACACTTCACTACACTTTAGAAAACAAAAGAAGTTGTCGGGTACATGCTAGACCAAAGTGGATGTGGTAAAACTGGTTTTAGGGGATGAAAGCCCTTAAACTGCTTACTTTTCAAATGTGAAACTGCTAAAATGCCGTATTTTACAGCGTCGAAGATGCTATTTTTTTCGCAAAATAAGTCTCAAAAGTTTACCCAGCATCTTGGAAATCAAAGTAACATTTACCATTTTTTCCAAAATTTAGCCAGTCAGAAATGGGGAAGTGTCCTTGACATCAGAGCATCCTGTTCACCATAAAATATGGTAGATCAAACCAAAAATTTTCAGTAAGTTTTCACGTGTATTTTTTTGGTCACTGTTGTTAAGGAAGTTAATTAAATTTTTTCTTAACTACTTCACCAGTATTTTAATCTATTTGACAATTTATCACAAGTGATTCATTTGGATGGCAAAAGTCAACCAGCTGATCTAGAAACTGGAATCAGAAATAGGTTGCAACAAAAAATAAAAAGTTTATGATCTACTGTTCTATAAGATAGAGGATTCCTATAAACAGCAGCAACAATGAAGACTAGTGCTTAACATTGGAGGATAAAAATAGGTTTCAAAGGAGTTTTTTTTTATAGACATGAGGTAGACATTTTTAACAACTCATAATGACATATCTAGGAAAGACAGACTGATCTCTGGATGAAACTGAAACTATTAACACTGTTTTATTTCATTACTTACCCTATTTCTATCCTGTTTCATCATCTCCTCTACATTAAGCCTTTCTAATTCAAACATCACAGGAGCAAACAAGATGACAGATGTACTAGCTGCAATCCACACTACTTGTCGGGTCAGTTCATATGTGCCTGGAAGATGACAAGGAGCTACTAAGAGGGATTTTTTTTTCTACAAGCAGATATGTTTTGCTTTTTTAATAAAACATGCCACAGTTTAGTAAAAGTGCTTAATTAATAATGGTCAAGCATCAGAAAAATTAAATGAACATCAGCTGTTGTCCAAAATGTTTCTACAGTTGCCTAATGAGTGCCAAATCTTTTTATATCATCCTATGTGCCTTCTCATAATCATTTACTAAGGTTCATTGAAAAGAAAACACAATCACTTGCACATCAATCTACTTGTGAGTTCTTTTCCATATCACCACATAGTGTATTTCAAGATAGAGAAATTGAAACATGAACATGTGCAAGAATCTTTTAAAACAGTGCATCAGGTAGACAGTGATAGAAGTACTGTATCTCATATATATATATATATATATATATATATATATATATATATATATATATATTATATAATATATATAATATATATATATATATATATATTATATATATATATATTATATATATATATATATATATATATATATCTATATATATATATATATATATATATATATATATATATATATATATATATATATATATATATATATATATATATATATATATATATATATATATATATATTATATATATTAATATATATATATATATATATATATATATATATATATATATTATATATATATATATATATATATATATATATATTATATTATATATATATATATATATATATGTATGCAAAACAACCACTCTGAAAAAATAGAGAAATTCCAAGCGCTTTCGTGACTACTCACATTATCAAGGAACTATGAAAGTAAAGCATCCAAGGAAGCTATATAAGGGGTCTGGCCGGCACCTCACTATCAGATCCCACAACGGTTTAAACACCTGACGCGCGCCGACCCAACTTGGATAGGTCCTTGGCACAACTCACCTCACAAACTATTCTACCCAAGAAATAAGAAATTTTAAGGATTATTTGTCCAGTGTATTATTAAATTCTTCCCAAATTCTATTAATTATAAATGGATCTAATTTATATAAACCAAAGGAAATATTCATATTATTGTCAAAACTGCTTTTTATGAAACAAGATTCAATTATATTCCTGTCGACCATGGACTTGCTTGATACTACTTTCTCAACTTTTTGAAAATCAATTGGATGGCTAAAATCTCTTACATGAATAAATAGAGCATTGGAATCTTGTCCAGTTCTAATGCTATATTTATGTTGTTTTAATCTTAGTTCGAGATTTTTACCAGTTTGACCGTAATAAACTTTATCGCAAATTTTACAAGGAATCTTATAGACACATCCATATGAATAATGAATTCAAATTTAAAATTTACAGAAAACCTACTAATAACTGTTCCTATGTCCACTATTATTCCTCGCATCAAGATAGAGTCAACTGTCTGTTTTCTCATCAATGTTTCTGAGAGCTTTACGAATTTGTAGTCCTGAGTTCATAGATGAGGAAATATCCAAAATTTATGAAATAGGTAATGATTTAAAATACCCAAGAAATGTAATTGATAAATCTTTTAAAGTTGCTAGAAATACTTTTTACAATCCAAAAAGGGACAACCAGCCTTATTCAACTAAAAATATGTTGGTTCTCCCTTACCATGAAAACTTGGTTGATATGCCTTCTCTTCTTAAGACTTTTAATATTAAAGTTGTATTTAAAAATCTTGATACAGTAAAAAAACTTTTGATAAAGAATTCCCTCAAAATGCTGATGGATGTGTCTATAAGATTCCTTGTAAAATTTGCGATAAAGTTTATTACGGTCAAACTGGGAAAAAACTCGAATAAGATTAAAAACA